ATACTGAGTTGAAAGCGTCCAAGGAAAGAAACATCCATCACTTCATGGCAAATAGCGGGGAAACAATGGAAACAGTGAGAGGCTTTGTTTTGGGGGGCTCCAAAATCACTGCAGATGGAGACTGCAGCCATGAAATTAAAAGATGCTTGCTACTTGGAAGAAAAGCTATGACCAACTAGAGAGCATATTAAAAAGCAGAGACTTTACTTAGCAAAAAAAGGTCAGTCTAGTCAAAGCTACGGTTTTTCCAGTAGTCATGTATGGATGTGAGAGTTGGACCATAAAGAAAGCTGAGTGCCAAATAATTGATGCTTTTGAACTGTGGTGTTGGAGAAGACTCTTAAGAGTCCCTTGGACAGCAAGGAGATCCAAGCAGTCAGTTCTAAAGGAAATCAGTCCTGAATATTCATTGGAGGGACTGATGCCGAAGCTGAAGCTCCAATACTTTGACCACCTGATGTGAAGAACTGACTCATTGGAAAAGACCCTGATGCTAGGAAAGATTGAAGGCAGGAGGAGAAGGGAACGACAGAGGATGAGATGGTTGGGTGGCATCACCGACTGGATGGACATGAGTTTGAGCAAGCTCCGGGAGCTGGTGATGGACAGGGAGGCCTGACGTGCTGCAGTCCATGGGGTCACAAAGAGTTGGACATGACTAAGCACCTGAACTGACTAAAAGGAAACAACATCATTTCAATTCAGTTCAGAAACACCATATATTTTCACAAAAGGTTTAAGAAAATACTTTTAAAGGCAAAAGCTAAAATATAAAATTTAAAAGGATGGTTAAAATAGATGAGAATGAGAAATCATAGCATTAACATGTATGCTTGGAAATGTTTCTAGTAAGAATAAATGCAACAATACAGTCACAAAATATCCCTGCCTCTTTTATCAGGGCACTGAAATTGTTATCCATGAAGACACTCATCAAAGGAAAGCTTTGAAATTATGGATTTTTATTTTCTTCTAACTCTAATACATGTAGCAGCTCAATTTACTGAAAACTACCTAGGTATCTCTCAACACTGCAGTCACTTTAGGATTCTGCTGTCTGAAGCAGTAGCTCATGACCAACTCGAAGAAAGAAAACGAATGTAACTGACAGCAGGAAACGGCCTAAGGGATGCAGAAGACGCCCAGCTGAGTGAGGAGCGAGGTGAGCCAACGCGTGACCAGGTAGAGGAGACACTGCAGTGTCTGTCCCGACACCACTGGTGCCTTTTAACTGCGTGCCCACCTCCCAGCTTTTGTGTTTTGTTCTAAAGATGACGACTGACTTCCAGGGCTGCTTCGCCTGCAGATACAGAGGCAAGTGCTCCCGGGTTTGCGGCCCCTCTCCCACCGGCCACAGTCGGTGTCTGAGGCAGAGATGGGAAGGCCAGCTCCCTCGCCGCAAGCAGAAGGAGGAGATTCCTGGAGCAGTTGTGCCCCAGAGCTCCGCCAGGTATCAGGCTGAGGCAGAGACACTGCCCACACCTTCCCCTGTCTGGCTCCCTTCCCCGCTCCCTCATCCTCCCGGGAATGCTGCCCTAATAAAACACAGAAAATGCAGAAATCCCATCTCAGGTCTGCTTAGGGGCGCCCAAGCCAAGACTTTCGTGGTGTGTAAATGGGCTCCAAGAAAATTTGTAACGGATTCTTGTTTCTGTACCTCGGATAAGAGTTTCTGTAATACTTCAGTATTTAAATAGCTGTACTCACCACTGTTTAACAAGCAAGAAGTCTCTTTGTTATTATAGAGCAATGCAACAGCCCTGGAATAAAGGTCTTATATCTAGAAAAAAGAAGCTAATAACTTGGCACAACATATTTTTCTCCAGGTGTGAACAAGGTGAGGGTAGTGTGTAAGGCTCCAAAGTAGAAGTAAAAATAAAGCCAGCTTAAAGTTTGGTGAGCTTCGTACATGACACTGATATTATAAATTCTGTACATAGCCAATATTTAATAAAAACAATTTCAAGTCACTCCAAAAGGAAGAAAGCAATGCCCAACACTAGGTAATTTTTGCCTCTCAAATAGTATATCTTTGAAATGGAAGTAAAGCAGGTAAGTATCAAGGGTTGTTTTCTTTCATGAAACTTGAACACACAGCTTTTAGTTTGACCAAACTAATAAATTCCTCTTTAAGAAGACTCACTCTGAAGCTAGAAATTTAAGAGTGAGGATAATTCAGCTCATTTGGTTTATTTAAATTCTTTCTATTTTAACACTGATGAAAAGCTAAGCTAAATGTAACTTAAATAAGAAAAATACAAAATATACCTTTTGCCATTACAGGAATTAAAATATATTCTGAATGCCTACTGTGGATGTAATAGTCCTAAAAAAGAGTAACCCACTTAGAACATATGTACATCCCACTGTTGGAATCATGACAAAATTACGTCAGTGTTCAAGATGAAACAAGAACAGTTCAGATGCCAGGGTCCAGATAGTTCCAATTTTAAATATGGGAAGACATTATAGAAGTATCAGATCTCAGTTCAGAATAAAAATCCTTTATTAAAGATAGCCAACAATTGAATGCTGCTAGAGTAAAATGCTTTTATTTTTAGAAGAGGATGGCAGGAAACACACAAGAACATTCTCCCTGGGAAAAAGGCAAGCCTAACACAAAGATGACAATCAAAAACCTGGTGACAAGTGAGACACCAGCTTCAATCAGGTCCTGTTGAGTGGGGGCATGGAAGAGGAGCCCGTATTCTATGTTAGCTGTTCTGGGGCCCAGCGCCGTCTCAAGTGTCAGTCACTCAGTTATGTCCAACTCTTTGTGACCCCATGGACCATAGCCGGCCAGACTTCTCTGTCCATGGGAATCCCCAGGCAAGGACACTGGAGTGGGTTGCCATGCCCTTCTCCAGGGGATCTTCCCGACCCAGGGATTGAACCCGGGTCTCCTGCATTGCAGGCAGGTGCTTTGCCACCTGAGCCACAACGGAAGCCTCAATGCCAACTAAAGTCTTTGTAAAATCAAATGGGTGGCATTTACACCCCTTAATATAGAAGGAATCATAAAATATAGAGCAAAAAACTTCTAAGCTCTAGGTTATTTTTTTTATTATTATTCTTAAATCAAGTCTATCTTTTCTCAAAATACCTAATTCTTCATAGGGGCCATTTATAACAGATGATGAACAATACTTATTTTTTAAGGATAATATAATGATTGTACAGAGAAAGTAGATAGTCCAAAAAAAAATTTAAAAGAAACCAAAAAGGAGATATCCTGTCCACAATGATTTAAAGTCTCTAGTGAATTATTTAGATTCCCAACTTGAGTTTGCCTGCTGAGACATGGTTTATGAATCATCCATGGGGAACAGTAAAATATACTGCACTTGCCTAAAAATAAGTAGGAACATTCAATAATAAATCTACTTTCTTGATCTTCTTCTGTCATCGGTAACTACTGATCTGGTAGTATGGAGAACCTGTCAGGTAGTATGAGTCTTCCCTCCTCTCACAGAAAGGTTGGAAGAAAATACGCCATGGGCCTGCCAGGAGATAATGAAATGCCTGACGTGGCATGAAACATGGAGAAGAAAATAATACTGATTTTAAATGCTTGAGACCTGGAGCTCACTTATAGACGTGACGTGACGTGAAAGTTGTTCAGCTGTGTCTGACTCTTTGCCACCCCATGGACTGTAGCCGACCAGGCTTCTCTGTCTGTAGAGCCTGAAATCCACTGTAGTCCATGGGATTCTCCAGGCCAGAATACTGGAGTGAGTAGTCTTTCCCTCCTCCAGGGGATCTTCCCAACCCAGGGATCAAACCCAAATCTCCCACATTGCAGGCAGATTCTTTACCAACTGAAAGACAAGGGAAGCCCAAGAGTACTGGACTGGGTAGCCTATCCCTTCTCCAGCAGATCCTCCCAACCCAGGAACTGAACCGAGGTCTCCCAAATTGCAGGCAGATTCTTTACCAGCTGAGCTACAACGGAAACCCAAAGAACATGTGGTATCAGTGAAAGTGAAAGTTGCTCAGTGTCTGACTCTTTGCAACCCCATGCACTATATAGTCCATGGAATTCTCTAGGCCAGAATACTGGAGTGGATAGCTGTTCCCTTCTCCAGGGGATCTTCCCAACCCAGGGATAGAACCCAGATCTCCCACATTGCAGGTGGATTCTTTACCATTAAATATAAATCTGCTGGTTATTTTTTTCATGTGATCACTATAAAATTACTTCTTGTCCCTTGAAGTAAAAAATGACATATAGTTCAAATTTTTTATTTACAACACCAAGAAGAAAATAGCAATTGGCCAAAGGAGTTGAAAAACAGCGTTCACTAGGACTCTGGCTCTTGAATAAAGCATGGGAAAGTCATCATTTGTAAATAAAAAGAACTGTGCATATATATTTCTGATTTCCATTTTAGCATTTTGTTAAAGATTTGTAAAATGGAACTTCAGAGAAACATTGGAAGGAGTTAATTACATCATCTTTATAGGTAGCTCCCATAAAACAGAGGGTAGATTCAGGCTGACAGTGACTTTCCCCACCTTGTGAGAATCTTTTTAAACAAAATGTGCATAAGATTAAAAACAAGTCACACACATTTCTCCTCAGAAAGAACTACCTAAAACAGTAACTTTAATAATAATATCTAAGGAAATGGCAACCCACTCCAGTATTCTTGCCTGGGAAATCCCATGGACAGAGGAGCCTGGCAAGCTACAATCTATGATGTCACAAAGAGTCAGACACAACTTAGTGACTAACACACTGATGCTTACTAAATGTGCACAATAGTCGGTGCAGCAAGTAGAAAATCTAGCAGAAAATGAAGCATCCAAACCTGGTAGAATGATTAAACTTGAATCTAGAAAATGCCAGGTGATGAGTGGTCCACAACATAAAAGAAAACGTCTACAAACCAGGTTTGAGAGGCATTTCAGATGGGACAACAATGTGACTGAAGGAATTCATTTTACAGACTGAAAGTTCTAGAACTCCACAAAACTATCAACTTTTACCCACCATGTGCAGAGTACATACCAGATGGCTGGGGGCTGGCTAAGAGTGATGTCTGCTTAGTCCAATTACAGCGCTGTCCTCTGTGAAGGAATGACACAGAACAGAGAAAAATGAATGTAAAGGACTTCTGGAATTCTCATGGAAGTCTCTGTGCTTCAAAATCAAAACCCCTAGTATTCTTTAAAACACATCAGAAAGAGACTTTAATAAATTAGTCACAGTCTAAACAGATGACAAAAACACATAATCATCAAATCAGAAATGTTCCTGCTACACTCAGCCTACAGGGTTTATATACCCTCTCTACTAAGCCACTGATCTCCAATTCAACCTCTTGACCTACCAAAATAATTAAGCAGCAGTTGAACAAGGATATTCAAAATGTTCTAGAAGTAGATACAATGATCTTTTCCTGATTGATAGTAAAACTGATAGTAATTTTAAGAAACTTTTCAAAGAAGAGCAGTGCTGAACAAGGAAGATTTATAATGAATTTGCATCTGTGTACAAACAGTCAATATTTTTTACGTGTATTTTTGATTTGTCTTAATTAAGAAGTTGTTATGTAGATTTTGGAATTGACACTGAGTTTAGACTTCACGACCTTTCCGAGATGTTGTGTGGGGTGGGAGAGTGACACAGGTCGGGGTGGTGTCAAAAGTACACAGAAGTAAGAGGAAGTCCATTTCCATCTGGAAAGGAGGTAGAGGCAGAAAAATTGGCAATCCGGACATGGAAAATGATGTCTGTAAAATCTGAACTGGAAATCTGCAAAGATCATCATCTATTTATGGAGATCTCTACTGTTAGCTCCCAGGTAGAAAGTTTCATCAAAAAGTTCATTCAGGCTTTTCTGTAACATCGAATGGAAAAACCCAATCAAACTTTCTGGCCAACCCAATACAGCCACAAATGAAAACTATGTCATTAAAAAAAAGAAAAGATTAGAACCAAGATGTATATACCTAGCAGCAGCATAGTGCCTAGCACTCACTAGGTACTTCCCACATTGTCAGTGAACAGATGAATAACTGAATGGTCCGCCTAGAGCTGGGAAGCTAAAACTGTTTACCTCCTGGGACTCTGAAACAAGCTCAGTTCCAAAACAGCTCACTGATTAATAACTCTGCCATGCCATGCTCTTCATTCTGAGAGACCACTTGGTGCCCAAGTCTTTGTCTCTGTAACCAGAGACTTAAATACTGGACACATTTTGCTTTCCTTTTCTAATTCCTTAAGTGACTATCCAGCATAAAATTGATGCATTATTCCGTAAGCCTTTCTGCTTCTGTCCATGGCTAGGACATTACAACATTTGGGAAATCCAGTGTTGAAATACATAACTACATAGAGGTGAAGCAGTATAAAGAGTTTGTCATGAACTATTTAGCTACCGGGATATGATGGGCAAACCTCTGTAACTGACTTGGTGCTATGCTCATATGTGAATCAAGGCCTTAAGCTACCAATTTTTGAATCCAATTATTATTACTCTAGGTGCTGAAGGATGTAAACGGGGTCTTTGGTAAAGAAGAGACCAAATGGATAAGTGAGCACATGTGTCTATGTACTGGCCTCTACAAATCTCTATGTTTATGCGTTTCTGTGTGTGCATTTGGTCTTTCAAAAGAGGAAAGACAATTTTCAATAATGTAGAAGAAAACCTAATAAATAGTTATAAAAAGTCCCCAAATCCCAGATCCTATTAATGCTGGTGTAAACAAAAGCTGTTTTTCAAAGAATGTAAGCCCACTGAAGAGGAAAAGATAATAACAAATATTTTTTAAAATGTAAAAGAGATAATAACAAAAAAGATATAACAAAATATATTTGCTGAAAAGCACTATTCAACAAATAGTGCTGAGACAACTAGAAATCCACATGCAAAGCAATGAAGGTGGCTCCTACCTCGCACCATATGCAAAAAATCAGTACAAACTGGATCATAGATATAAACATAAGAGCTAAAACTATAAACCTCTTAGGAGTAAATATAACATAGAAACAAATCTGTGTGACCATGGATTTAGGCAATGGTTTCATGGAAACAATACTAAAGGCACAAACAACAAAGAAAAAAATAGGTAAGTTGGACATCATCAAATTAAAAACTTCTGTGCTTCAGAGGTCACCATCAAGAAGGTGAAAAGACAACCCACAAAGTGGAAAAAGATTTTTGCAAATTGCATATCTAATAGGAGACTTATATCCAGAATATTTTAAGAGGAACTATTATAATTTAATGATAAAACAATAACCCAATTTAAAAACAAGTAAATAATTTAAATAGACATTCTCCAAAAATGATACACAAGTACATAAAGAAATGCTCAAACATCATATAAAATTAAGTCAAAACCACAATGAGATACTTATTCACACCTACTAGGATAACTTCAGTCAGAAAACAGTTGACGAAAAGTGTTGATGAGAATCTGGAGAAATCAGAACCCTCCTACATTGCTTCTGGGATATAAAATGCTGCAGCCACTTTGGAAAACAGTCTGGCATTTCTCAAATTGTTAAACATAGAATTACTTTGTGTGTGTGTGTGTGTGTGTGTGTGTGTGTGTTAGTCACTCAATNGAAACTCCAATACTTTGGCCACCCGATGAGAAGAACTGACTCACTGGAAAAGACCCTGATGCTGGGAAAGAATGAAGGCAGGAGGAGAAGGGGACACCAGGGGATGAGATGGCATCACCAATCCGATGGACATGAGTTTGAGTAAGCTCCAGGAGTTGCTGGTAGACAGGGAAGCCTGGCGGGCTGCAGTCCATGGGGTCGCAGAGTCAGACACCACTGAGCGACTGAACTGAACTGAACTGAACTGAACAGATGGAGAGAGCAGGTTAGTGCTTGTATGAGACTGGAAGGGTAGGGAAGTTGGGGACCACTCGCTCAAGGGGGTGGGCTTTCTCTTTGGGGTGATGAAAATGTTCTGAGATTAGACTGTAAAATGGTTGCATAACTTTGTGTATATACTAAAAACCACTGAATCATGCATTTTGAGTTGGTGAATTTTATGCTTTATAAATGATATTTCATTGAAGTTTAAAAAAAGGTTCACTTCCAGTAAGTTTGCCAGTGAATAGAAGTTGGCTTCTTTCAAAACTAACAAAATACTTACACTCTCCAAGGAAACAGTAACTGGTGAATATCTATATTTTTAAGAGACTATTATAATTCTCCATGGGATTTATTATGATGGGAAATACAATTATATTTTTCTTTTGCCAAAGAAGAGCATATGCCTACAAAGTACCACTAATGGCAGATGCCACAGTGCTTGAGATACAGTCTTATTTCAAAGCAGTGGGGAGCTTAGCCAAGTGTGATATTTTTATTGCTCAGTGGAGGAGAAAAAGAAAACCTACCAATATAAGAGACTCACACTGAGAGGTCTGTTTTTATGAATCTATGTATTGAACACAAAAAGACTAGCATTCAGTGCTCTCCCCAATTCAGTCAATATTGAAATTTTGTTTTCAAGTGAAGAGTAACTGGGCAAGACTGAATCAAAAGATTCCTTCGCTCCGATCCGCTCTTGGACATGGGAAAGCACTGTTTCACAAACAGAATGTGAGAGCACTGTCATATCAGTGAGTTTGTGCAGTGTAACCAACCACCTCAAACCTGTGTGACTTAATGTAAATATTTACTTTGGTTCACACCAAGATCCCAAGCTGGTGAGGACGGCAAGAGCGTGGGTCCCCTTGCACGAGCCTCTGCCGTGTCACATGTGCTACCGTAGCAGCGGGCAAAGCAAAGTACGTGGTCAGGCCCAGACTCCAAGGGTGGAGAGGCAGCCCCACCACCTGATGGGAGCTTGATGCTTTAACGGCGTGGACACGGGAGGGGAAGACTTGTGACTGTATTTACAAAGCACCACAGCTGAACACACTCCCACTCATGGCCCACAGAAAGAGTTTATAATTTATCACAGTTTTTATTCAGGGTACAGCTTACGTGTAAAATATAGGTATTTTATCACTACACATGGAGAGAGAATGTACACATTAATGCAGCTTCTATATATGAAAAATTACGTCAGTCCCTACTGAACTTAATTCTATCACAACAAATAGGCTAATGGCTATTTCCTATAGTAATGTTATCATGTTACTAGTTATTTATCAGTTATTGTTTCTTTTTAAGTGAGAACGTTTACGTGGAAAAGATGAGTAACAGGTTTAAGTGAAAGAGAGATTTCACCAAATCCACAGAAGTGGCTCAGGAATAACCTAAGTTTAGAGCCCTGAAACTTTACCTACCATACATACAGATTGCCACAGTTATTTGGTAAAAAAGCAGATTCTGTTTGAGACAGGATTCTCATGGAGACCATAGACTGCGCATCTCTACCAAGCTCCCAGGAGGTGCTGATGCTGCTGGCTGCACCGCACACCCTGAGCAGCAAGTGAGAAGAAGGGCAGAAGGAAATGGAGAGGAGACCGAGGACAACCCTCTTCCAGCTGCGTGGTCTGCGAGCCCGCTCCGCGTCAGTGAGAGGGAGGTCCGCCAGCGCCCATCTCAGAAGCCTGGGCGGGGGTGAAGGGAGACGCCGGGGCGAGGCACGCCGGGCGGGGCCAGAGCGCACGGCTCCTCCTCTGACCCCTCTCACTGTCACTTCCAGGGGAGGCCTCGGTGAACTGCAGCTTAAAGCACGGGATCGGCCGGGCCCAGAGGACACTGTCGGCACAGCCACACAAAGTGAGCTGAAGAAGGATACACAGCTCATCTGTGTGTGTGTGCACTCAGCCATCACTGTGCTTACACCTGAGACTGACACTATGTTGTAACCCAACTCCACTTCAATTTGAAAAAAAAGCAATCAGAGCTTTAAAACTTGCTTCACCAAAGATCACATGTGACAGTTCCACAGAGAGTGCAAACACGTTGCTGTCTCCTCCGAGCCACTCCACAAGCACGCATCGTGCACCCCGTGGCTTGACACGAGGACAGGACAGTGACCACGCGCGCAGAAACACTGTCCTCCTGGCGCGCACGCTCCACGCTGCGCACAGACCGGCTCCTCTGCGCTGCGCTGGAGGAGCGGCTGCCGGGGGCTTCATCTGGC